GGAGGGAGGGTGTGAGGGGATCGGGAAAGAAAAAAAATGAGCAAAGGATGATAGAGAGAAACAGTGAGAGGGAGAGGATACCGGGAGGGATGATAATAATAATAAAAAAAGTGCTCGTCCAAAACGGAGTGAAGGGAGAAACAGGGAGAGGGTGAGGGGGGGGGAGAGGGGGGAGGAGGGGGGGGTGATGCTCAGGTGATTCACAGATCCGCTTCTTGCTGATCTCACCAAACCATGTAAGGGGTTTTTTGGTTGCCTCTCCTCAACCAAAACTGTCCCGATAAAACCCGGAGTGCGCCACTGGGGGATGACACAGGGAGAGATAAGCGTGAAATGCTAACCATGCTAGCAGCTCTTGGATGGTTTCAAGCACAGGTGCTTTTCTCCTGACATTCAAATAGTTTCCAGGCTCCCTGACTGGATCGGTACACTGCACTCAACACCTAAACCAAGTTTCTGAAAGTCGTACAATCTCCTAGTCGTACCACAAGGTCCTTTAAGGAACGTCCGTGGGGAATTTTCAACAACCTCTAGCACAGAGTTTTTCAACCTTTTTTGAGCCAAGGTACATTTTTTCTTTGAAAAAATCTCGAGGCACACCAGCAACCAAAAATGTTAAACAAATCCTTAGCCGCCTATAGTAACACTATAGTTATTCTTATTTTATTCTAATCTTATCTTAAGTGTCTTGAATAGGAATCAAGTAAACACAAAAATGTATTTTTATCATATTTTATATTTCGTCTTTCAAATTGCACTTAACTTCAATATGCAAAATTATATACAAAATCTAGTCATAAGGAATTGTTACATGATTACGCCACCAGTCAACACTCAAAAATGGCATATTATTTACAGATAATTAATTCCTTATCAAAAAATCTTTTTAGACCAATTAGGTGAAATAGGATGATTTTCTACGGCACACCTGACCATCACTAACGGCACACTAGTGTGCCGAGGACCAGGGGTTGAAAAACACTGCTCTACCATTTCATGCTTTTTTCATCAACAGTCTCAAGAGCTTTAAGGCTTGAGAAAATCGTTCTGGTTTCAAAAAATGGAAATCCAGGTGCCATCTGAGACGTGTTTTAATGCACTATCAGCAAAATGACAAAACTCTACGTACACATACGAAGCAAAACAAGCTAAAATATGCTAAAGCTAAAGGCCCCCGGCTGAGGAGATCTCCATGTCCTCTCCGAGTATTCCTGCTTGCTCCCACATTCCCAGAACAAGCTTTTCAGGTCAGCCGGTGACCAAATTGCCCCGGTAGGTCTGTCTCATTAGACTCTGTGTGGCCCCGGGATGGACTACTGACCCGTCCAGAAAGATGCTCCAGCCCCCCCAGAATTAAAAGCCTAATTCTAAGAACTACATCTAACAGACTGTTATGTTATGGACAGTTGATGTACTTACACATGCTTCAATTTGCTCATAATTTTCCAAATACAATCAAACAACAATTCTGTGCAACATTCATTTGGCCAAGTAGTTTCTAATTTTTTAAGAATTGTTTCGATTCTTGGATCACTCCGTGGATTACTGGATAAGATGTTAGATGATAGTCTGTTTTTAGTCTAAATAGAAGGAAAAATAGAAGAAAAACATCCATTCAACACTTAATGGAATATTTTTGGTTTGTTGGTGTAATAATAGAGCGGGAGAATCTAAGCTATTCAATTTAGCCACGATTTTCAGGTTGAGATGACTGATAAAAAAGGTGAAATTAAATCATCAATACATTTTAATCACATAAATAAATAACGATCGCTATCATTTCATATGAGTGGCTTCTTCGCCAACAAGCATATGTCTTCAAATCCTTTTTCTACTCATGAAATATACAAATCTTGCTTGAACAAAGCGTGAAAAAAGTCTTTCTGACTCAATATCAGTAAGATCTGATGACACTGCGAATTCTGGTGACAGAAAAAAAGATCCCACTCATCATTTATCAGGTAGATTTTCCTCTCAGTGAAGTAGCACAGTCCTAACAGAATTCTGGTTTCTGAGATTTTTTTTTCTGGGACACTGAATTTTTAAAAAAAAAATTTTCTGGGCCACGGATTTTTTATTTATTTATTTATTTCTGGGACACTGAATTTTTTTTTTTTTTTTTTTTTCTGGGCCATAATTTTTTTTTTCAGTGGCCCTAATCCTCTTCCGTACTCTGTGAATCCTGGTTACGGAAAAAAAAAAGATCCCAGTCATCATTTATGAGGTAGATTTTCCACTCAGTGAAGTAGCATAATCCTAACAAACCCAGATAAAAAAATAATTTAAAAAATGAGGTTCTAAAATGTGTTTTGCACCTCCTTTTCCCCCCTCTGGTGTTTTTGTTTTGCTACTGGCCCGTCTTCTGTGGCGGGCCACTCCAAAGACGCAGATTATCTGGCACTTGTCGGCAGCATATGTCTCTCAAGTAATGTGTACCCAAACATGCAATTTACAAATAATTAACGTGGTGTTAATTAGTCACATTAATTCATGCCACTTTGTTGGGATTGTTTCCCCCCGTCGGTTCCCAGGACTCTTGCCAGCAGCATCAGCCAGAAAAACAGCGAGCGGGATTTTTTTTCCGCTTCAAAGCCAGAGCGGGGCATCAGAACACAGAGGCCACCGTTACACTAATAACACATAGACTCGAGTCATTCAGACACACACACACACACACACACACACACACACACACACGTGCGGAGGATCCATTCTCCCGTTTCTGAATATGAGCCGGTGGGCTGTCAGCACCTGGCTTATTGGGGACTGCTGAAGGCATAATCACTCTCCAAAGTC